GACTTGACTTGACTTGACTTGAAATTATTTTAAGCAAATCATGACTTGACTTGACTTGACTTGAAATTTTCAAAAAATGACTTGACTTGACTTGAGTCGGGAAAAAGGCTGACTTGCCCATCTCTGTCCGTTTTGATCAACCTGGGTATTTAGTCATAGAGAACTGTTCCTAATTTTTCCGCAACATTTGATATGCGGCAACAATACTTCAATAATGATTATACAAATATCTTAAGTCAATATAGTTTTTTAGTCTCATTGACCTGAGCACAAATGAATAGGATGTCAGAGTGGGAATACGCATAACTGACTGAACTCATACCATAGCCACGCTCACACCCAGAAAGGTTGACGAGTATATGATCATGCCAAAATTGTCCTCAACTCACAACTGTAGCGTTTTAATCAACCTTGGATTATAAAAATAAACCTTGATTATTCCACCTAATAACTAAAAGAAGTGAATGAAAGATTAAAACAATTGTTACTCAATCATTTATTTGTACCATTATTATTGACTGAAACCTTGAAATATTTCCTTGTCTTAATCATGATACGGATTTCGATTCGGTTGTAAGTAGAAGAACGTTTTGTTTTTATCTGCTCTTTATTTTTAAACGAAAATTGTGAAAAAAGATCACATATGTATGAAAAATCATTTTACATTCGTTGGATTAAGTATACTTCACTATCTGTATCTTAAACCAGTCAGGAACAAAGTCCGTCAATATTTGAATCAGAAATCTTAGTATGGCGATGTGACTAACAAAGGATTATGAGACCTGCACTCACACTCTACCATTAAAGTTCTACGGAACAAACATTTTCCCAGTCGCAAATCAAACTAGTTCAGACAGACTTTCTTTCGAATGTACCACAAGACTCTAGTCACATTAAGTTTTTCAACAGACAAGGCGTGATGTTTATCTATCAAATATATCATGAACTTGTTCTTTAATCAGTTTCGATTGAAGTTATTCAACATATTTGAGTAATACTCTGTACTGTGAGTGAGATGTGAAAGACAACAGTTATTATGTAATCAAAAGTTGTGCCAAAACTTTAAAACAATATTTAATAGAACACACATATAGGAACAACTTTTTTTTCTCAGGCATGTCAGGAAAATTTGAGTGATGCAAGTGCTCATTGTTTGATCAATTATTCGAAACTCAACATTGACAACGATACGATTAGTGTCTTCGCAAGTGAAAAATAGTACAATTAATTGTTAGTAAAGCTTAACACTGCTCACGAATCAGTTTCATAAGTTCCTGACGAAATAATCTACTTGACAATGTAATCCCAGTGAAAAATATTACTAAAAACGAACGGTAAAGAATGCGTTCCAAAAGAACTGAAGCTCTTTTTTTAAAGAAAAGAAAACGTTTCACAACAAATGGAAATCGTTCTCAAATGGAACGAACTAGAACGCATTCTATCATTCTAAGAAGGTGTTCTTGGTCGCTTCGAAATGGAACAGTGAAGAACGCATTCTGCCACTTGTGGAACGCTTTCTCTTCTTTAAAACGGTTAACCTTTCTGATCACCTGGGTGATCATTAATAGATGAATCTACAAATAGTCAAAAGACTGTTCCTGATGCAACTTGACGAGCTCTATCGAATGGCATACTCCAATTCGTTGTAACTGGAACCGTTATTAAAATAATAATTTTTCTAAATCAGACCAAATATCCCTAAAGTAAAACCGAATGAAGGTTCCATCATTTCTCACATCAATTTCAACCTGCTTTACTTCAGACCTTTCATTTTAGAATGAAAATGTGGTTTGCTTCGAAAAGAAAGCATTCATCTCTTCAGAGAATCCATTGTCTTAAAGGCTCGTGAGAGAACGTAAAAGGAAGCTATTTTATTTCGATGAAATGCTATGTTAACCGTTCCGAAAGAAAATGAACTAGAATGAATTCTACTGGTTTAAGAATGATTCAGAATGCTTTCTCTTCAAATAGGGAACGATTTTTCAGTATAGAAGAAAGTATTCCATACTAGTGTGGAACGGTAAAGAACGAGTTCCTTCAGATCGAGAATATTTCTTTCTGACTCTGAACGCATTCGCTCAAACAAGGAACGCATTCTCTACGTAGGAGATAGGTTTCCATATGTGCATGAAGCCATTCCATTCCGTTTTTTTTTCGAAATATTTTTCACTGGGAAATAGATAAAAACTCAGATATGGAACTTGTAAAAGATGCAATGCCCGTAACGCCGTATAGTAACCCAGGTCAAAAAATCTAACGAAAGATCTTGCAGTCCGGACGTCAGATCTTACAATCTGAATGAAATCTTACAAGCATCAGACAAAAACGCGTCGTCTCTGAAATCTTGCATCAAGTAATACTGTATTTTCTTTGAAGATCGTACAGGCAATTTTTTTTAATACCAATTTGTCGTGATATTTTAACGAGATATTAGTTTAAGTAAAATATCACAATGATATTTCTATGAGTAACAGAACCTTTCAAGAATCTTCTGATACGACTTAGTGTAAGAAATCAGAGACGACGATTTTGCGTACGATTTTTCGTCTGTTCTTATCAGATCAGATATGATCAAACGTACGATTCTTGTAAGAACTTGCCGTCTGGTTTCTCGCCCTGGGAAGTTGTCTCTCGTTGCTTGTACAGCACCTACTGTCTGATTTGATCTGATTGGCGTATAGAGAAAATTGACTGAAGGTAGAGATCCTGTGAAAATAAATACGGTAGATTGAGCCAGCATCATTTGAACCATTTGTCGATCTGTTGTTTTTCGTAGTGGATGCCGTAGAACTCGATTCTGACTATTATTTGTTGTAACGCGCCTAATTGATTGACGAATGTTCCTAACTGTATACAATCCAAATAAAAGCATGAATATTGGTGGAAGTAAGTTGAATGCAGCAAGACGCCATGCTCAAAAAAACTGTTGATAGATGCCTTGCATCGGAAGGCATGATTGTTGTTGAATATTCAGTTGAATCGTGTGAGTGTGGGCGTGCATTTATATTAGATGAAGACCCACACCCACACCCACCCGCTTTCCAAGCAAAGTCATATTCTCGAATTTGCACCTGAAATGAAACTTTGTATGCTTGAAGGTCTCAATGAGACTAGTTTACCAAAAAAAATTTAGAAGTTTTGGACAAACTATATACGAGATATGAATCTCTCGAAATGTACAACTTCTATAGAAAATCGCCAATATTTTGAGAGGTTCATATCTCGTATATAGTTTGTCCAAAACTTCTGAATTCTTTTTGGTAAACTAGTCTCATTGAGACCTTCAAGCATACAAAGTTTCAGGTGCAAATTCGAGAATATGATTTTGCTGGGAAAGCGGGTCCTGCAGAGAAAATTCACTGAAAAATCGAATATTTCCCTTTAGGCAAGTCATGGGCTGCTAATATTTTAACCCTGTTAGTTTGGCAATGAGACCTTTCATTTGATACCAATATGAGCGGTTTTCGTGACGAACAGTACAAACACCTCCATTGTTAGAAGCCGTTCGCTGTAAGTTCAAATTAACAAATGATCAATTAGATCAACTATTTAATGGCTGGCTTCGTGAAGTTTTTCTTGCAAAACGAAGAGTAGCTGTGAGAAAGGTTAAAATGTTAATGAACAAAGAATAGTATTGTTGGCAGGGTTGCCACCTCTTCCGCTTATTACGGAAAGTTTTCGCTATTTTTCCGTTGTTCCGCTTTTTTTCCGCTTTTTCATATAAAACGTGTTGTATATCAAACACACGTGCAGAATAATATTTGATATTATTGAATCAATTCTTATTGCTTACAAATACCGTGAGTCATCATTCTTTTATGTTTTGAAACTTTTATGAAAAAAAAAGAAATCCAATAAATATGAAAAAAATGCCTGATGTTCTCAGAAGCATTACAAATCTGCAACAATGTAAGATTCCGCTTTTTTCCCGCTTTTCTAGATCAGTTTTCCACTTTTTAGACTTCATCAGGTGGCAACCCTGATTGTTGGGTGTGAATGTGAGTGGGTGTGGGTGTGCGTGTCGGCGTTTAATGTAAGTTGGGATGTTCTCATTTCATCCACACCTAGACCTGCTCCACACCCACACTCTGAAATACTCTTAACAAGTATCTTTTTATTGTTATTGCTCTTTGATCTTATGCATTTGGGTTAATCACACTTTTATTGATTTATGGAAAAATAATCAACAAACAAAAGTAGACTAGTGGATTTGTTTTAAAATTTCGAACACTTTCGGATTATGATGAAATAATGAGAGTATTTTCTAGAATTAATCAAATATTTGATCGTCATTTGATAAAAATATGTATTTAATTTAATAATGTTTTAAACAATTTCACCAAGCATTAAAATATCATTATAGAGAATGGATAGATCAATATGGCATAGAATTATTTTAATGGAGACGAAATTGAAATAATTAACATAATGAAACTTTTCATATTCCATTAATTAATTATCTGAATTTTAACGAAATAAAAAACTATGGTCAATTGTTTTTTGAACAGAACTTGATATTAATAATTTATTCTAGTCGGTCATACAGTTGAAAAATATTTGAAAGGTATAACTAACAATAATATAAATGCTAAACAAAAAGTCCGCAGAGCTCTGTTAGGACAATGTTAAACAGTCAATGAAATAATTCAATACTAATAGCATTAGAAGAAAATTAAACAGAAAAGAAATTATGGGGGTAAAATTTCAATACTAATAAGTCGAGGCACCGAATTTTGTTTTTGAGAAAAACGAATGCTATTAGCACTGAAATCCCGTTTTAAATATCAAGCTTTTTTTCTCATCAGACAACTTTTGCTTATTCATGAAATCATTGCAGTTTAGATCATTAGCATTGCTCTTAGTCATTTTTGTTTGATGCAGAATAAAATGAAAACTAATAAGCAGGTTCACTCAGATAGATGCAAACATGTTTTCTGTTTAAAAACGAATCCAAGCGCCATCAAGCAACTCGTGTTTTTCGATTGACGAACGTACGATTCATAGAGTGGCCAGAGAAGTTTACTTCCTGCTTCTGTGTACTAAGGTTCCCGTCGTCGCCATTTGTAGGAATGACTTCCATAAGTGAAGGATTCCTTTTCTTTTGTGTTTCTCTGTTGCTTTTATTACGCCCTTGTCGTTTTCGATTATCGATGACTGGATTAATTTTCTTTGGTTTAATATTAGTGTTTTGATATAGAGGTTGTTGATCAAAAAGATATTTCTAAAATAAAATAATATTTTCTTTCGTATTCATATAGCTTGAACAACTAGAGTCAATCCGACCTGCAATGTCTTCATGTTCGGTTTGCTTATATTAAAATCGATGCTTTCAGGTTGTGAATAGAATCGTTGCCGAGCAAAAATAAAAACACGTAGAATTTTAGTCCAATCTGAAAACATAGTGTTTGCAAAAAAACTAGATAAAATTTATTACTAACTTTTTACAGATAATTTAGCAGCTAAATTATGAGTCAACATGAATGGATCTTCGATGGCAATAGTTGGACGAAGCCATCCATTTTCCCTACGTAATAAGGGTTTAAACTGTCGAATGGTTACAATATTTTTATTATAATCAAATCGTTCGGTGTAATAACGTAAGAATTCAATCCATAAATCACCTGATGATAATTTGTTCAATCCATAATTATTCCATAGTTTGCTCTGAATAATAAAAAAAAAACATCATACAAACTACATGAAATAGTATCAAAACTACATACAAGTTTTGTTAAATCATTATAGAAATACACATTCCAACCGACGCATGTTTGAGTGATCGGAGATTCGATTGATTTAGGATCACGCAACTAAAATTTCAACGAAATAGAAAGCAATAATCAAGATTATCAATAGAAAATAATCGACAACTTGTTGCAAAACAGGTACAACAGGCGGTTGAATTTGTTGAAGAAAATGTATCACCATGATCGTATAGGCATAACTCGACAATGTTCCATGGCTTGCATCACCGATGTTAAATTTCTGAAATATCAAACTTAGAATTAACTCGAGAATGTATCTAAGATTATAATCTTTCAGTTGAACTTACCCAGTTCGTTCATTCCTACAATCGGATCCAATCGGATCTTACATGAAAACCGACAAGAACCAACAGATTCTGTCGAATTCCGGGCTTCGGATCCGTAGGATTGAAATCCGATACTATCCGATCATATCCTACTCTGGGACCCGATGCACCAAAAAAGCCTGCTATAGTCAACCTCTAAAAAGCTTCCCAAGTCGAAAAATCTGACATAAGATCTTATGAAATACATACAAGATCTTTGAATATGGGCGAAATCTTACAAGAATCTGACAAATAATCGTAGTCTCTGAGATCTTATATCAAGTCCAACAGTCAGATTCTTGAAAGATCTTACACATTAATAAGATCTTTCAAGAATCTGACTGTGTGACTTGATATAAGATCTCAGAGACTACGATTTTTTGTATGATTTTCGTATGATCTTGTAAGATCATACAAGATCAGATTCAGATTCTTATCAGATCTTAGTATCTGATTGTTTGTCCTGGGTTTTTTGCACTAAATAGAGTTTTGATAGTTTTTTAAATTCTTCCGTCGGACCCGTCAATAGTTCCGAAACCCAGAATCCAACTGGATTTACTCGGTTAGTAGGATGTTTTAAGATCCGATAGAATCCGTCGTCGGATTAGTCGACTTGGATATAAGCAAAAAATTAACACATCATTTTGTACTTTTGCAAAATATTTCACCATGACACCAAGTTCACGTACGCGTGGATCAATATTTGAGTACGTTTTTAGTAGTCGAGTATTTTCAAGAGGCTAAGTAGAATAAAAAAAACGAAATATTTTTAAAATATATATTCAATGAGAATATCACATACCAGGATATTATTTAGGCTAATGTCAATTTCAGTGCCAGATTGAGAATACTTTGCTTTAATGATCGGTATTCTAGCAGTTAGGATTGGTACAACATTTTTGAACATTTTCTTATTTAACTTCACAGATTGAGCTAAATTTTTCAGAACTTGAATGTTAGTTTCGTGTTTCTGGAATACAAATCGCAATCAATTCATTGTTAAAAAAGATCACAAGCAAAAATACAAACGTTCAGTTCCAATAGAACGCAAACATCGAGATCACTTTGATGAAAATCGAATCCATTGTAGAATGAACCATATCCTTGCATACGACAGCTGGGATACATTTTTCGGAATTCAATTTCAAGATAATTGATGATGTTTTCATGTGTTTTGATACTTTCCCTAGTCAATTTACCTTGCTCTACAAAAATATTTAGATAATGAAGAAATAAAAAGCGATTTCATATGAAAAACAAATCTACCTGAAATTTGTTGGCAAAGTAAAGAAAGTGCATTTGCCCATTTTTTGTCAATTTCAGGCAAGTCGATCATCCCTGGCAAGCACAGTAGGGGACACTGAGACTTTACGTGATTAGATTGAAAACACTCGATACAAACTTTCGGAGGACCCTTAGTAATGCAAGCAAAATAGCACAGTAATATATTTTCTATGAAAAACTGCCTACAGTCCGAGCACCAAAATTTTTCTCTTGAAACACTTGAAAAACGTCAGCATGATCATCAAACGAAATAGCTTCCAAATACGACAGCACATTTGTAGCAATGATACGTTCAAGTTGAATTGGTTGTTGATTGGTGGAAACAAGCAAATCTTTCGGGAGCTGTTCGGGTTGTGATTTATTCGCTGCATTATCGACCAGTGGTGGAAGACCATTGACAATTTCACGCATTTTTTGATTGAATTCATGTACTGTAAATAGAGAGGCACTGAATTGAATAAAAGTTTAGAAGCTCATTATATTCTGTGTAAGTCGATAGTGTCGGTGGATTTTTTGAAAGAAATGATTTATTTTAAATGTCTATTGATGACTCTTCTTAAACTATTACCTTGTCTTTGATATTCTAGTTTTACAATATGTTTTTGCTCTTCGTTGAGATGTTCAACGAGTAACTCGAACGAAATCGGTTGTTCACAATCTGTGTCTATATCATCTTGATATGTTTCTTCAAGATCATCTGTATCCTCAGCTGTTTCGTCCATTATTGATAACAGATTGTTTTCATTTGGTACAAGTTTTGGTTCTGGCAATGCCTCCATTCTATTATCAAATGTATGTTTGTATGCTTGTCGTAGATCATCTTGTGTGCAGCTTGCCCTGCGTGGAACTTTATGTAATATTGTAGCAAATAATGATTTACATGATCGATGCACATCTTTCATTATCGCATTGTTTTGTGCTGATTCTGTTGAATCCTTTTGACAGAAGTATATCAGTGTCTGTTCGAATATTCGTCGAAAATATCGAAATGAAGAGTTCGATTTGATTGTATAACCTAAATTTCTATCGATGAACATTGGGTCTGTAAAAAAAAGATTTTCATAGTATAAAAATCCATATTCGGCGGTACCTGCACAAAACAGATTTCCATTTAATTTTTGTTTTTGATCTTTCTGCAGCGGCATTCGTGTTTGTATAGAAATAATAAATTGATTCATGGAAAATTTTACTAAATAGTAAGAGAAGAATTGAAGAAAGAGCATTTCAACTGATGTTCTATTTTTGGTTTTCCATATGCTGACATAATCGTTGCAAATTCTAAAGAACTCATTATATTGATCATCACTTAATGCTACAAGTGCATTATCAATCCCAAATACCTATGAGTTTTTGGCACGAAAAAATATATATTTAGTAAACATGAAAAGTAATCACTTGCATATTCATGAAGACAAGGTAGAACTGGTTCTTCAATTTGTTGCAAAAAATGGATAAACATAAGATGAAATACTATTGGATGAAGAGTGCCCAAATCAGGTCTATCCAGAGAGCATATCTGAATCGGAAAATAAAGTGCTACAAAATAGATTGTACAACAGCTGACCTTAGCAAAAAATCGAATGAGTCGGAGTAACGGAAGTACACGTGGATCGAATCTTGTATAGAGACGAACTATTTCAGATGAAAAAATGCTTCTCTTGTTATCTGATGTCACTCGTATGCGGATATTCGTCTTGCGCACGATCAAATCAATACATAATGGATCATAATCTGTATTTAAACGCATTTCTTGATAAGCTCCTAACAAAAAAAAACAGCATAAATGAAGAAAAATTGAAATGTATTCATAGATACCCGAATTCCGAATGATTTCAAATACTTCTGTTATAGTATTATAAGGTAGGAGTTTATTGACTGTAACATCAACATCAATCATAGGTGAATCATTTGAACAACAAGCAAAATAGAATGATCCATACAAAGCTACTTGAGCATCTATTTAAAAAATCTCTTGCATTGCTATTTTATTAAATGCATTGCTTGATGACTACCTGGCTTCTTGGAAATAATGATATCTCGTAATTGATTATATATGCGTAGTCCTACTTCAATACTAGTTTTGGATAAGAACTGCTTGATAATAATTTTATCAAAAATACTCTTCAAAACTATTAAATGTGCATTGCTTGTTTGTTGACTAGCGATCACGCTTACATTATTTTGTGTCTAGATAGAATAACGTATATTTTTTTTATAAGATAATAATCACTCTCACTTTCTGATGAGGCAAGCGACACTCATTTCTTTGGTTTGGATCATCTACAATAAAAGAGGTTTTCTTCTATAAAATCTTGAATTCTTTGAAAAAAATCTATACTAGGTATTTTTTCTCCTTGTGTAGGGCGTGGACTTTGATGAACCCCGTTTTGATCCGAATGCGGACGTTGTTCAATATGAACACCAGTACGTGTGCTATTTTTCTTCCGATATGATGCTGATCTTGGTTCTTGAGGTTGATTAGATGTTCCGTAACATCGAAAGTTTGTAGAACATGGTTGTTGGGGAGCCGATTGATTTGGGTTCAAATAATGGACAGCTGACTCTTGTGCCCGCCAGGACCAGTAGTCATTGCTTGTACCAAAATCAATGACGTTTTCCCTTCCTTCTTGATCCCTGTTTTGTCTTCGTTCCCGTTTTGATTGATTCATCATGTGTAAATGCGATATAAGTAAAGAGTAAGCTTTTGAAAGAATATTATAATTGCATTTGCTATTTTTTACAACGGAAACTTCATCAATCTAAAACATAGATGACATATCTTATCTTTACCTTGGTCTTCAATGTAACAATCTTTAATATGATAAATATTAGTCCAAATGAAACTACTCTTTATCATGTGTATTTGTATCATGAATCGCCGAAATTTCATCGAGAAAAGCGTTTAATTGATATAACCAATCACGAGGAACAGATGAGAGAAGAAGGAACATATGTGAATTATGACACTCAAGTTGGCTTCAAGTAGATCTCAATGCACTAGTCTTTTCCCAAAAAATATTGATACTAACCAAAACCCTATTTTACTACTAAAAGCTGTTAGCGCAATCCCTGTGGGATTAAAATGTGAAACAAGATTAAACTTCTTTTGTCGAATTCGTCTATTACTGTCACTGGTGGTCTGTGGAGCTTCTCTGTTACGGTCTGTATTATGTTGCATAAAGTCTCTAGACACCATCACAGACCGTTACATAGAAATTTAATAATTAATAATTAATTAATTAACCAATTAACTGATAATTAATTTCTCTATAACGGTCTGGAGGGGGGGGGATGGGTCCAAACTTCTACCCTATATACTTCAACACTCCTTTCAGATCGTGTTTCACAAAAAGCACCAGGATTCAGTGTTTCTAATGGAAATCTAAAATAAAATGTACAGTACACGCTGTTTTAAATAAGCAAAGTGTACATTTACACTTTCTTTTCATAAACAAAATGTACTTTGTTGAACTTTTATAGAATGACAAGAAATGTAAAAAAAATATCGTTATATCTTATTGAGAAAAAATAGAAATCAATAATAAATAAGCAAATAGAGAACAAGGGGAAAAACAATCTGTATGTAATTCATCTAGAAAGACACACCACACACCAGTGCAACATTAAAATAGCACATAAGCATAAGAACCTCAATTTACTGTTTTTCAAATCCTAGATAAACACAAGATCTATAAAAACTATTACGGTCCTCTTCATCATCATCATGAACATCAGTATAATTTGAAGA